CCCCCCCCCCCCCCCACAATCGAAAAGAGTTTCCTACGGCCCTGTACCATACGTCCAACTCTTAATTAAATTTTATATTAATTGTATTTATAACAAGACTGTGACATTAATTAAACCGAACTTTCACTGGTTCACGAGTACTGTACACACCTCAAAATAGTTGGCTTTTCTTATCAAACACAAATACTACAAAAGTTGGTCCCGGAAAATAGGACACCCCCCAAATTTTTTTTGAATGTGCGCCCCTGATCCATAGATGCACATAACTGAGAAAAACCTATGTTATCCATAGAAATCCATAGATGGACATAATTTCGTAGCCTGAACCTGTGATGCTCTGATGGAAACTCCACTTCCCGACGAGGAAAACGACAAACACGACAGAACACTGGTGATTTATGACACTTGCACTTTGGGAAGTGTAATTATGCGTTCGAATCCGATCTGTAAATCACCGCAAATTGAGTAATTCTATAGAATATATTTAGGTTTTTCTGTAAAGTTGTTCTCCATTACATGATGGACGGTTGTCTACGTTATGCGCACCCGCAAGTACAAGCTTGCGCTAAAAATATTTGTTGATGTATTTTACAATATGTTTTTGCGATGTTTTTCGCTTTTTGTTAACTAGAAACAAGCCTGCAGTTTTATGAATTTGTGGTTGTCAACCGCGAAGCAAAGTATGAAAGGCATAAGCACGAAGTTTGTCGAATACGAGCCTGATATTTTTAATAAAATTTAATCGTTGTCTTGGCTATTTTTGGATTGTTTGAGTAAGTATTATATAAAAATATTTCCCACGAAGTATGTTTTTTATGTCACACCTGAACTAATTAGATAAGTGAGTAACAATTTAATTATATTTAATGTTAATCCCTGGCGCGCCTGTTGAAGAGGGAGGAAATTTAGAGCACTTGAAACTACATAACAGCTAGGGCCAAGGTCAAGGTCGATCTCTTGGTATTAAACCAAGATAACTTAGATATTTTGCATGTCTCCAATATCAGTGGTCAAGTGAAGAACTCAGAATTTATCTTCAGCATCACTTTGGTCCTATTTTCGTTAGCGATACATTTCTTATTTACACAATCATTCTTTTCCTATTCTCTTCTATTATGGCTTTATCAAACCCAAAGATGCTGGCATTTGGTCGTTCCTTTGTGAAGCGCATGCATCGGGATTTAAGATCCAAATTCGATGTTCGCGCTGCTCTAAATTTTAACATGCACAATGTAGCTATCAAACTGCATGGTGTTGGGGGAGGGGGGGGGGGAGGACTGTTGACAAATTAGTTAAATTTGATTTCAACAGGGTTACCCAGTTTCAGCCCAACATTGTTATTTTAGAGGCTGGGACCAATGACTTATCCTTAGAAAAACCCGAAGCTGTGGGATGGAGAATTGACGATCTAGTGCGCATGTTGTTCGGGGTTCCATCCGTCAGAGTCATCGGCGTATGTTTGGTAATCGATCAGACCTCTTCTCCAAAATTTAACGAGAATCTTGAACCGGTATCTTACGGTTGTGTTAGAAGATAAGCACAACGTCTTCTGTTGGAGACACAAAGCCAAGGCTTTACTCAGCCAACCATTTTGCCTTTTCTGCCTGATGGCGTCCATTTCACCCGCAGAGCTCAGTATATTTTGTATAGCATTTATTGGGGCGCCATCCTCAAGGCAATTCAGTTTCTTTCACGCTGTACTCAGCACACAGATGGTCGCGTTTTTCATTTTTACTTGACTTTTTTTGTCCTCATTTAAATACCATTAAATGTTTTTTTTTACAATATAATCTCACCCTTCGTGGTGGGTCGAGGCTTCGCCCTCATTATCCGTGAATCCGGTCCGTTCCGCATCCGCTTCCACATTTTAATCTAATTGTGACATGTTTCACAATAACAAGTCTCATTGACTTTATATTCCCAAGACCAAGTTGCGTTTCATCTACGTCGCTAACGTCTAACCGTGGTTTCAGCTTTTCGCACGTATTCAATAATGTCACTTTAGATTTCAACAGTTTCACAGTTATAGTAATGTTTATAGCAGTTTTGACAAGTTTTGATACAGATAGGTCTAGATTCTCGTAAGATCTGGTAGAGTACTCATTGCATTGAACACGAGTTCGCATCGTTGTGCTAGACATGTGAACAAGATCCGTGACGGTACACGTTGGATACCTCCTTGCCTTTTTCTTCTAGCGATTGGCGATAACACGTTGGCTATCTCCTCGTCGTTCTTGTTTGGATAAAGAGCTCTGACGAGTCAAGAGATTTTCTTTAGTCTCGCAAGTTATTTTGTTAGTTATTATCTTCGTATTAAAACGCCATACAGTGAAATACGCATGTGCATTTGCGCTGCTAAAGAAATTGATAAAGAATTTTCATTTGCGCTGCTAAAGAAATGATTACCGCTTACTGGAATTTCACTAGCAAGTTTAGGTCCTATTGTCGAAAAATGCTCATTAAATGCATTAGATAAATCTGATGGGTTAGATATAGAATTACCATTCAAATTTAATTCCCTGACAGATCTTCTTTTTGATTTACGCGAGGTCAGGTCATTGACAATCTGCCATGTCTTTCGAGAATTGCCACTGTGCTGCATAAATGCATTTCTATAATAAGACTCTTTAGCGAGTTTAATTTCCTTATTTACAATATTTCGTAATCTTCTAAAATTGTCCCAATCACCAGGGACAGTAGAGTGTATAGCTTTTATTTTGGCTATGTCACGATCATGCATACGTTTTTTTAAATCAGATGTTATCCATGGAGAGTTCTTCGATCGAATACGCTTAGTACGTATTGGAGCATGTTTATCTGCTATAGTTAAAAATTTACTTTTCCATTCAGCCCACATTAGATTAGGGTCTTGAGTGTTAGATAAATTGTAACTCCAGTCTTGAGATGAAATATCACTACGGAAGTTTTCTCGATTAAACTTCTTAAAATTTCTATACGTAATGTAGTTATTTCCTTTACTAGATACAGTATTCAAAGATAATTTGCGGTAGACATAGATTAGGCTATGGTCACTTATACCGCAATGCGAGACTCCTGAACAAACTACCCTGTCTGGATAGTTAGTGTAAATTAGATCGATCAAGGTGGAAGTTGTTTTGGTAATACGGGTATGCTCATTGATTAACTGCTGAAGACCATATGTATCGGTAATGCTCGACAGCAGATGGGTATTGTTGTCATACTGAGTAATATCGTTAGCTAAATTACAGTTAAAATCACCCATTAAATAAAACTCGATATTTTCTGCATCAAGTCGTCCGATAAGGGACTCAAAAAAGTAAATAACTCAACAGGAGAATTGGGTGGTCTATACCAATTGACAACAACAAATGGTTTGGATTGAGGTTTTCGAATTTCAACACATAAATTTTCCAAATTTTTAAACTTTAAATCCTCACGTATTGAAAAAATTATAGTTGTTCTAATATAGAAACAAACACCTCCACCATGTCGGTCTCTATCTCGGCGAAGTATTTCATACCCAGGGATATGTATTTCGCAATCATTAATCGAATTATCAAGTTTAGTTTCGTTGATTGAGAAGATATCTACTGGATAATTGACAAGCAGAATTCTCAGTTCATCTATATGTTTTATCAAACTAGCTATATTTAAAGAAGCTAGTTTGAAACCACGCTTTGCGGGAAAGGGTGGTATCGATTTCGTATTCAAATTGTTGCTATATCGGCTATTTGAATACGAAATCGATACCACCCTTTCCCGCAAAGCATGGTTTCAACGTTGTTACTTTCCCACATTTAGAAAAAGATTGATTGACAATCTTGAAGACGGAGTTCTTAATGACAGTAAAAAAATCGAATTTCTACCTAAATTTGTATCTGGAGATGCGTATGAAACTGTGAAAAGAATGGCTGGATGTTCTTACCCGGATATTATACTGATTTTGCAACATAGATATGGTCAGCCTGCCACAGTTGCTGCCTCTTGTATTGAGTCCCTGACATCTGGTCCAAAGTTGACAAACGATGACTACAAAGGATTACGTAACTTTGCCGAACAACTTACGTCATCAGTGAAAAGGCTTGAAGACGAATACGAACAAGAAGCGAGCACGACATCGAACTTAAATTTGATCGCTTCGAGGCTACCAAACTACCTGTTTAACAAATGGGGAGACGTATCGTTCACGATTAGAGAAAAGGGAAGAAAGCCACGACTCGAGGACCTAGCTAAATTCGTGAAAAGGCAAGCGGCGATCAAAAGTGATCCTGCGTTCATTTGGATCAACCACAGGGAAAAACACGGACGGGAAATATAAGCCAGGGAGATGGCGCGGGCGGAAAAACGAAGACCCCAAAACAGACAAGGAAACCCAGCATACACTACCGATTTTGAGAAAGGAAAGATTGATGGAACTGGTGATAATGATAATGATAATAAGCGCAAGAAATCTAACTGGCCGAATTGTCCATGTTGTTCACGATCACATGAGCTCGCCTTTTGCCCGAAATTCCGAAGGAAAGAAGTAAATGCAAGATGGGATGTCGTCAAGAAGCAAAAACTATGTCACGTCTGCATGAAAGCTGGACACTTCAGAGAAAACTGCCGGTATGTTGAATTTTGCCCTTGTGGTAGTCAGAGAAAACATAATTTGCTGCTACATAATACAAAGTCGAACGAAAATAAGAAAGAAATGAAAGATGAAAAGAAATTATCGGAGGACCATAAGGAAGTCGATCCTGACAAGCAATCGGCGCAAGAAAAGAAGACGGAGCAATATGCGACAATAACAAATACTACTTCAAAATTTGTGTTACTTCACGTAGTTCCTGTGAAAGTGCTCTCTCCGCAAGGAGTATCCGTGACAACATTCGCACTTTTAGACAACGCCTCTCGCGGTACTATGATAAGTTCAGAATTGGCGAAAGAGTTGAATCTTCGTGGAAGGAAAGAGACAATTTTAGTTAACACTTTATTGCAACAAGAAAGTCAGGAATTCGAAGTGGTAAAGTTTGATCTGCAACATGCGTCTTCAGATGGTGAGAAAATCAAAGTTCAAGAGGGCCTAGTATCCAAGAAGTTCAACATCGCCGAGAGATGCTTACCAAAGGATATCGACAGAAATCAGTATCCGCATTTGGCTGACCTTGACATACCTGACGTTAACCTTGCAAATGTCTCGGTATTAATTGGTAAGGACGTAGAGCGAGCACACAACATTTTTGAAATTCGTAAATCGAAGAGACCTGGACGACAAATGCAAGGGCAACGAGGCCTTCTAGGGTAGGTTATTACAGGTGTTTCAACGAAAACAGACATCAGCGTTAATTTCACTGACCGTGATAAAACGCTACTTGACCAAATTGAGATCTTTTGGAATATAGAAGGCTATGGAACAAGAGCCATTAGACCCAGAAAGGACGAAGAACGTCACCTTTCGACCGAAGGTATGTCGAAAGAAGATGAGCGTGCACAGAAGATATTAGATCAAACGTTCACAATGAAAGATGGTCATTATGAAACAGGCCTCCTATGGAAGGCTGATGACACAGTTTTGCCTGACAACAGACGTGTCCCAAATATTAACTGATTTAATTTCATTATAAACAATAGAACATAGTGACATGGCAACACATTGTTTTCCAGCATTGGATCTAAACATTAATTGATCACCTTGGTGAAAGTCGGCATAAACTGTATAAGTACGGTCAACTATTTCATTAATATTTCTAGGACCTGGATTTTCCTCAACATCATTTGAAAGTCTTAATAGTAATGGTACATGAACATGATAATATACCATCTGTGCATACCACATGCACACCTCATTATATTTTTCAGTTTTAGTCACTAGATTTTTAAGACATGGCAAGTAACATACTTTAAACAGAACATCATCAACATTTGATTCCAGAGTTTCCTTTCAGTCGAGATATTAACATTTTTCCTTGTGTAAAATTATGGTGTGAACCAATTCTTGAACGATATATCTCAATTGCTATACCCATATTTTTCAGTCAAGTCTAACAGTCAAAGTTGTATTGTGTTCTAGTTTGTAAATCGTTCACCTGCAAGTTGGCAGGTCAGTTGTAGTATATGAATCCGCAAACTGGGTTTGCTCTTTACAATATACCTGCACAAAATGGCAAGGTTGGTTTTGTTTTAACTGCACAATGGCAAGTTTGATTTGATTTTCTATTTCAGTTTCTTTTTGATACCTGGACCTCACGTAGGCGCCTGATCTAAGATCAGTGCAAGCAACAATGGCTTCGTTCAACTTTTTGAACGTACGCAAAAATTAGAAAGCAAGCCGAGAAGCGGTTAGAGAGTCTGAAGCGACGTTTTCGGAAAGAGCCCAGTCTAGAACAAAAATATCGCTCTGTAATGGAGGACTATTTTAAGAAGGGATATGCACGCCGCCTCTCACCTGACGAAGTCCTTGCATCCGGACCAAGAAAATGGTACCTACCCCATTTCCCAGTACTAAATCCTAATAAGCCGGGAAAAGTAACAATAGTATTCGATGCTGCTGCAGAATTTGTAAACAACTTGTTGAACAAGAACCTACTGCAAGGACCAGATCGTACGAACAGCCTTGTTGGTGTCCTAATGAGATTTCGTCAAGAAAACGTAGGCTTGGCAGCAGCATCGAAAGCATGTTGCACCAGGTTAAAGTTCCCCCAGAAGACCAAGATTCACTGAGATTTTTATGGTGGCAAAACGACACCGAAGAACCGCCGGAAGAATACGTGATGACTGTTCATATCTTCGGTACGACGGACTCCCCTTGTGCAGCAAATTCTGCCTTAAAGAAGACTGCGGAAGACAATGAGGGAGGCTTTGATCTAGAAACTTAGAAACTATAAAGACGGTGAAAAATAATTTCTACGTTGACGATCTCCTAAAATCTCTGAATAGCACTGAAGAAGCTGTCCGTCAGGCGAAAGAATTGATCAAGTTGTGTGAGATGGGAGGGTTTAACTTGACCAAGTTTATGAGTAACGATCGCGAAGTGTTGTTGTCGATTGCAGCCGAAAAACGAGCCGACCCAAATCTCGATCTTAGCCTAGATAAACTGCCTATCGAAAGAACACTTGGCATACGCTGGAACCTTGAATCCGATGAATTAGGATTTAAAGTCGTAGAGCTGAAGAAACCTGATACCTTGAGTGGAGTTTTGTCGACAATCTCACCATTTTCGACCCATTGTATTTCGCTGCACCAGTAATGTTGGTGGCAAACAAGATAATGCAAGAGTTATGGAAAAAGAAGTACTCCTGGGATCAACAACTTGAAGGCGAGATTCTACAAAGATGGCAAAGTTGGAAGAAAGATCTTCGTCTCCTGAGGAAAATAATGATTCCAAGATGTTACTTTACTAAGCCTCAGCACGAAGGAAGTTCGCTGGAGCTACATAATTTCAGCGACGCCTCAGAAGTGGGATATGGATCCGTATCTTACCTACGCATCACTTATCCAGATGGAAAGACAGAATGCTCATTCGTTGCAGGAAAGTCAAGAAATGCGCCATTAAGGACAGTTACCATTCCGAGACTTGAACTCCAGGCGGCTGTCTTGGCGGCACGTATGGATCATGATATTAGAACGGAGCTGGAGCTTGATATCAGAAGAGTATTATTCTGGACCGATTCAATGATCACCCTTAACTATATCAACAATGAGACGCGACGCTTTCAAACTTACGTCTCGAATCGAATCGCAGAAATACATGAGCTTACAACGACCGACCAGTGGAGATATTGCC